GAAAATCCCTGAGAACTCCCCAGGGACTCCCTTAAGAATCCCATAGAACTCCTGTGGGAGTCTTGAGGAATCCCTCTTGAATCCCTTAAAAATCCTCCATGACTCCACAGAGGATCCTGCCGGGATCTCGTGACAGGACTCCTGCTGACTCCTCCAGGACTCCTGCGGGAGATTAATCAGGAGTCTCGACTAGGGTTGTTTGTTTTTATAAACGATGGGCTCAACACAAAAGTTGTATCATGCAGTACACAGAGTTATCAGGTATGACACTAAAACACTTCCATTGTAAGATGACCGCATGCCAATGACTATTAAAAAGATGAATGTCATTCACGATCACAATTTAGGATTGTTTCCGAAAAATGTAAGGATGTCAATACGACCTAAGAACTCTTGAATTGTTTGAAGCTGTCATAGTATCAGGTTGAATATTAAAAAATTGAATTGAGATAGTATTTGAACTGCTGATGATAAAGTTTCTGAATGACATGTAGGATTGATATTCAGTGATTTATTCAAAACATAGTTTGTTTCCTTTTAAAGATGTATCGTAAAGCATTGTGGACTCCACTTCAATCATCTCGTGTCATATTTCATCGATTTGCATCTCAAATCAGTAGTAGTAATAAATCTATTCAGTCAGTTTCACCGAAAACCCGCTCAATCATAGAAAGAGAAGAACGTTATGGGGCACATAATTATCATCCATTACCTGTAGTGATTGAGAAAGGATCAGGTAAGGCTTGTGAACTATTTCGATCAGTAATATATGACTCTGGATTCTATTTAAGGTGTTTACGTGTGGGATGTTGATGGAAAAAAATATTTCGATTTTCTCTCAGCATATAGTGCAGTGAACCAGGGTCATTGTCATCCAAAGATAGTCGAATGTGTTAAAAAACAAGCTGAAACAGTAACATTGACATCACGTGCATTTTACAATAATATTTTGGGTGAATTTGAAAAATATGCTTGTGAATTATTTGGTTATGATAAATTGTTACCGATGAATACAGGTGAGAGAAGAATTTGCGCATTGAAGTAAATATTTAGGTTTTTATGTCCTTTTAGGAGTCGAAGGTGGAGAGACAGCTATAAAACTTGCACGTAAGTGGGCCTATAATGTGAAACGCGTTGGACGAGACCAAGCGATTGTTCTATTTGCTCATGGAAATTTTTGGGGACGAACATTGGCAGCCGTTTCGAGCTCAACAGATCCATTGTGTTATGAAGGCTTTGGACCATATATGCCGAATTTTCAAATTATACCTTATAACGATCTCAAAGCATTAGATGTAAAAGTTTTCTGAAAAAGTTTCTGCCAAAATTTTATTCATATTAAACTGTTCTAAGAGAAAAATGACTTATTTTTCTTGAAAACTTTTCACTAATTATGAAAACTGTGTTGTTAGTGTATGCTGTGTCGATATTTCTTCGTAATCTCAGTGGCAATTTAGCCTAGGAAAAAACGGACTATTGTAGGTTTATGAGGCGAATAATGTTCATAATTGTTTTTTCCCAAATAGGAAGCATGCAGCGACCATCGTGTATGTGCATTTATGGTTGAGCCTATTCAAGGAGAAGCAGGTATGTGTTGTCATTTGATAATAAATTAATTGTGCTTATTTAATACATCAAAAATCTATTCATTTAGGTGTATCTATGCCTGACGATGGCTATTTGAAAGGAGTACGCGAAATATGCACAAAACGAAATGTTTTATGGATTGGTGATGAAATACAAACGGGATTAGGAAGAACGGGCAAGTAGGTAAGATACTATGAACTTAACCCTTTCTTGCCGTTGGCTAAACTTGACGGTTTTGAATGACAACTCGCTCAACTGCATCAATCTTATAGTCTCTAATATACACAGGAAAGGTGTGAACCAAAGTTGTGTGAACGTCAAAAATGATCTTCAATGAACGTCAAAAAAAATATTTTTATGATAAAGATTACATTCAGATTGTTGATTTGAAGTCCACAATAGATAGGCTTTAAGTTGATATAAAATCTATTTCTGAATGTTTAATAGTTTAAGTGAACTAAATTTTATAAAATGGCATCTATAGATGCCATAGGGCAAGAAAGGGTTAAACTAAACAATTGTCTTTTTTCTCTATTTCTATTGTAGAATGTTAGCATGTGATCATGAAAATGTGAAGCCAGATATTTTGATTCTTGGAAAAGCTCTCGCTGGAGGATTTTATCCGGTAATTAATCTGTTGATTTCAACTGAATAGAAACGACTCAAAGACTGTGACTGTTAGAAGAAAACATCACAGTTGTTGGGCAAAATTATTTGAAAAAAATTACTTCTTTAAGATTAGAAAAGAGAACAGCAGTTTAATTTTCAGTGTTTTAGGTATCAGCTGTATTAAGCAATAATGATCTGATGTCCCAATTCAAACCGGGTACCCATGGCTCAACGTTCGGAGGGAATCCAATGGGTAAAGTCGGTTACCTCTGTCTTCCTTACATACTATCGCTAAATCATGCTTTTTTATTCCTTTATTATTTTAGGAGCTAACGTGGCTTTAACATCATTAAAAGTAAGTCGATTTTTTTCACTTCATTTACTTCATTTTTCTGACTTGTTTTGTTTTATTAGGTACTAGTTGAAGAAGGAATGATTGAGAATGCGGAAAAAATGGGACAAATATTGAGAGAAAGATTAAATCAGATACCAAAAGATGTGATAAAAATAGTTCGTGGAAAAGGACTGTTGAACGCAGTTGTTATAGATTCGAGTAAGCTATTATTCTTCTCATTGTTCAGATCAAAAACAATTTTCGATACCTTTTTTTGAAATGGTTTAGAAATCAGTTAGATTTCTGTTAAACATTAGTAGTAAGAGACAGACGTTTTTTATATATCATGAGCATCTTCCAGTGATTATGAATTACTATCTTATACAACCTTCCATTTTTAGAACATGATGCATGGGAGTTTTGTTTACGATTGCGTGACAATGGTGTACTGGCTAAACCCACTCATGGTGATAAAATTCGTTTTGCTCCTCCTTTATGCATCACAAAAGAGCAAACTCTTGAATGTTGTGAAATTATATCTAACGTTGCCAAATCATTCAAATGATTATAATATACCGGTTTTATATTGTTCAATTCAAGAATGTTGAAGTTTATCGATCTTTCCTTGTTGATCTGATTTTGTTTTGATTTAACAAACATTCCAGTTCATCTTTTGGTGCTATGTTTAATAAATAATTATTTTTCTCGTTTTTAAGAACATTACTATTTTATAACATTGCCTTTTAATAGATCTGTATTCAGATTTTTTTGCTACAATAATTGAATTGTTGCCGTCATTTTATGTATAATACTCCCGGTTCTTGTTTTTTGCACTACATTGTGATTTAGTAATTGTTACTTTATTTTTTTGTGAGGGTTATGGATTGAATTTATTTTGTAACAAAAAATATATATAAATAATTTAAATGAAGATTGAAGGAGATGTTTTTGAGTACTATTTCCATTTTGGTAGTGGTTGCCAATTATTTTAATAGTTATTCGAATATGAGCGATCTCTTATCTTAAATTTAGTATGCTGTAAATCTAAAAATTGTTTATGATAATTTCTCATCATCTGTTGGAACCAAATTGTTGTTGTATCACATTCAGATTTTCCATGGGGCAGAGTTAGTAAATAACATTGACTCACTTCTCTATCAACTATAAAGGATGAATTAAGCGTCTTACAAGTTAGTTAGTGGTGTCCTATTCGTTATAACATCTTAATACTGAAACAGATACACACGAACAGAAAACATCAGATTTCGGCGAATTTTTTTTAATGTGTGTTTCAAATGTTTAGCTTTTCAAAACCAGCGTTTCGCATTTTAGCAAAATCCTTTTGCCTGTAACAGCAAAAATTAGCTTTGAAAATACTTTTTTTTCTTTAGGGATTTGAGTCCAAAGTAGAAAACATTTTTCGCTGCTATGGAGTTGAAGGAGTCTATATTCTTAATCCGTATGCTTTTTATTTTCAACTTTCTTTAATTTAATAAAAAAAAATTTTACTTCATACACGAGATTTATCCCGATTTCTGACAGGGAATATTTTCTCAAATGACACATTTTGATTAACATATCAACTTTGGAGGTAGGATTCTCAAGAACGCCTTGTATCTTTCAAATCTTTTCAGAGATACTTTTCCGTCTACTCTATTTGAAAAAAGTTAAATTCCCAAATTTAGTTTAATTTCAATTGAATAGGCTTCCAAAATTTGTTAAATGCGATAATTTGAAAGAAAGTTGATCCTCCTTTGATCTATGGTCCGTCCGATTCTATAACAACCTTGTATCTAAAAATGCATTCTCTTTAAGGACTTCTGGGATGTTCATTTGGTTACTTACCTTATCATGCTAGGTAAAATCGCTCTTAAACACAAAACATAGACTTTTAGCTTCTATATTTATATTTTTCGAAAAATCTACGACTAGCAAGATAGAGGGTCGCAATCTTGAATATTTTGGTAATTTTAACTTAGACGAAGAAATTGAAAGTCGTGCTTGTATGTGAATTGGAAATTTTTATCTGAACAATCTACATTTCTAAAAAATGAAGGTGTGCGAGATAAGCACATGTTTTCACCTTATCTCACACTATTTGACGGCTACAGCAAAACAGACCCTTAAACTAATTATGATCAAATCGAAATGAAAATTACTGTTAAATTGAAGTTTTCACTCGCTAAATTTGTACTAATCAAAATTTAGTCTTGTATCCTCCACATTTTATTATACTTTTGTAGCAGCAATGCAAATCATATAAAATTTCAAACAAGTCAAGTCCGAATTTTGTTTTAAGTGAAAAATACAATGAAAAGGTTTTTTTTAGACTAGATCAAAGTCAGATGTTCTTATAGCGTTGTCAATTGTTCCTTACCTGTGATCCCCTCCAGGATTTCCATTGTTCTTAGGGATGGGAGGGGCTAAAAACTTTGCTTCGCAGTAAGTGGCTGGCGAAAAAAGGTTCCGAATTTTTTGGCAGAAAGTTGCCGGTGGAAAAACGTCAAAAATGTTTTTTTTTGCCAGCACACACACACACCTCCTGGTTCTCTCCACGCGAGAAATCGTTTCTTCTTTTAACCTTTTGTATGTAATGAGTTATTGTCCTTCAGAGTATTATTCTTAATAGCATTTTTATTTTCGGAGTCTTTTAAACACTTGTGCAAGACCTTTAACGTCTGACATCTGCTAAAACACCATATGTGAAACATGAGGTTGTCTTTCCGCTTTATACGTCTGAATATGAATATAAAAGACGATCATTTTTCAAGCTCCAGTTTGACGGATCGAATATTACACCTTTAGAACCGAATTGCAACGAAGGAACGTAATCATATTAAGAACACATAAACAACCTCAGAAAAAGTGCTCTTATATTTTCGCAACATTTAACAACAACAATAATGCAACGTATTCTTTTAAAATAGGTAAATAATATAGGTTAGATTAAATCAGAGGCGGAGGAACGTTCCCAAATGGGGTAAGGCTCGTGGTAAGAAAAGCAGCAAATTTAGAAAGTTTTTCGAGAAAGTGCAGTTTTCCGTAATAAAATTTTTCGTAACTAGAACAAACAAGGAAATACTTTTTTGAGTTCAATTCGTCAAAATAAAATGACAGCTCGAGCTTCATGAATCCAAGCTGTTTTTACTCAGACTCCAAAAAAAGTGACGTTCCTAGCAAAAAGGCCAAAAAACGGATAAAGTTTGCGCTAGACTAATCAAAGTAAATTTGTTTGAAAAACGTGGCATATCTATATGATTAAAGGATCACTACGCTATTTTGAACAAAAGACAATATATATTTAGAGGTTTCTTGGCGTTTCTGATGCCAAAAGTTAACATTTTATCGTGATCCAGTCCTCTGTCCTCACTGCACATATCTCGTATTAGTCTGTGTTTAAGATCAGTGGAAAAAAGCCGAGTTTAATACACGCAGCCAAACGTCTTTTGGTCTTTTATTCAGATAAATGACGCCTTTCTGTCAATGTAGCCAAGTATTATCTAAATAACATAGTGCTAAATTCAAAAATCTACATCAAAATGGGGTAAGGCTCAGCCTAACAGAGCCAAATCAGCCTAGTGGTTCCGCCGCCTCTGGATTAAATGTAAATTTAATAACCGTTTCAGTTTTTTATTCCAGTCAAAAAGGTTAACGCAAAGCTAGTTCGTATGTTTTGGTAAAACTAGTTTTTAAAGTACACCATACCTGATCATTGAAGCTACTGTAGAAACTACATATGTTGAACCGCTATCAGTTGAGTGTGAGATGGAACTAATCTCGAGTTTCAATGTAGCGTAAAGCGAGTCAGTTATTTAAGCATATGTTTATTCATGGAACAAGAAAACAACAGTACAAATAATAGCAACAACAAAATGTGAAGTTATTTACAGACAATTGAGCACTCCATGTGCTGATGAGTTGGGGAAAAGACAATGATGAGCATACAGAGAAGTAGTAATAAACAACAAAACAAGAAAAAATGCACATAACTCACTCCAGCAATTCGACTGTGCAAAATAAGAAAACAGAAAACGACGATTACTAATGCTATGCGTTTTGTTTTTATTTTATTTTTAGTTAAAATAAACCATTCATTCATCCTACAGTCGTCCAAAACACAAAATATTTCTTTTAAGAGAAAAAACTGCCTGGTTGATACACACGGAAGGAGGGAAAAGAATTCATTTTTTCTTACGTACACGCACAGACAAGCAAACAAAAGCAAAGATATAGAGAGAAGAAAATGAAACATAAATTGAACGCGTTTTAAAATAACTTTTTCGTGTGTTTTTTATTTTTCAATAACTTGATTAAATCTTGAAATCATGAACTGCCACCAACCTAGAATACAGAAAAAATAGCAAATTGTATCATGTTTTCTAAGAGAAAACGACGAGTATCGCTTTTACACTCGAACATTAGCGAATATATCAAAAAAAGTAGCATCAAGTTGATTACATAACTTCAATGGTTTCACAGATTTTATTTTACAGAAAATCTTCAATCTGTTTTAGAAGATTTTTGTGAAACAGTACAAAACATTAAGAAAACGATCACTCACCTGTTCTTGATATACTTCGATAACATCATTGTCTTCCATTTCTAATAATTTCGGTGTTTCATCATCATTTATTCTTTTTCCATCAAATAAAAATCTGAAAAGAGGAAAGAAAACAAATATGCTATCTAGAAAATACTGTAGTCTCTGGCACAAACCTTAACGTTGCTACACCAACACCTGAAAAACAAAAACGGAAAGAATTAAATATAAAATCTCAAAAAAAAGCTAACGTAAATTGAAGTAGGTTGTTGATTTTGGAAAAAATCAACATTCTATATAACTGATGACGACTTTAGTTGGGATCCACATAACAACTCATTCTGTCTAGTTTGAAAACCTTTGGGTATTTATCCATTTATAAAACGTGTACAGTAACATTTTGGTGAAAAGTAACCATTACAAACGACCGTTAGAAAAAAGTGACATCGGTTCAACCCAAAGTTACGATAAGACCTTGTATTATTCAAAAGTCTCTAAACTATTCTACACTCGTAGTAGCTTCTTCGAGTGTTCGTGAACAAGCTTACCTTGTCGTTCGGCGTACGATTTTTTCAACTTTCCCATACTGGTTGTCATTTTTACTTTGAAATGTACTTCAGAATTATCTTGTCCTAAAACATTTATTGAAAAGGAGGTGAACCGTCGCACGAAAAAAGTTGCTTGTAGCCATATGAATATAATTTACCAACAACTTTCAGTTTTATGTATTCATCTTTCGATGCTTCACCAGCCATTCCTGTTGAACCAACTAATTACTATAATTACTTAACTGGAGATGAGAGAAATTTTTTATTTAGATGAAGGAACGTCCACGTTACTAAATAGGAAAGATTCAGAATGATGTTTTGACAAATGACTGAACACTTTCACTATGAGACAACAATGAACTGTTAACCGTCTTTCTTTATGAAACTGTCGGACTTAATGCCTCCGCAAAACTGGCGGAAGGAGGCCAGTTCAAACAAGTACCGCGAGAATGGTGACGGCGTTCAGGGCGACAAAATGAACTGAGCGCCCTCTAGCGCCACATGAGCCGTAAACAAATATCACACGAGCTGAACTATCGGTATAAATCAATAAAAACAACGTCATTTCGAAGGTTTAATCTGACTTCCTCAATATCTTGTTTTTAAAAACCCAAAATTGTTACAGTGTACAAGTGAATTGAGCTGCCATCTATGATGTTTACAAAGGTTTATAAACAAAATTTAGTTGTTTTTCAATACTAGTAATGCAACAAGAGATAAGTTTTGTTATTTAAAATATTTTAGTTTAAATGACCGGTGACTTCTCATTCGCCTTTAGCATTAAGGCTCGTGCGAAGAAATAACAAGATGTCGAGATGGATGCACAATGCAAAGGGCTTTTGTCTATGTATAACTGAGAATTTAATCGCAGTTTATCTGTGTTTGTATTCCAGAATCTGAGACTGAATTAGTAAATGTTATTTTGAAATCACTGCCGATGTCTCTAAAGAATGAGTCGTCCGTTATGCTCTCTTTATTTGAATAATACTCTTTATTTTTTATTTTTTTTGCGCTCATTCGTGGAATGAAGTTGTTTCTTTTATGCGACATTCACCGATCTGTGTTTAAAACGTACAATTAAATCCATATTAGATTTGATACAACCTGCTGATGAAAAATACTATCCGTATGTTAATATTGAAATGAACTTACAAATGTTAACAGCATTATACAACGCATTTTTAAGAACCAGACTAATTAGAAAAGAATCTGATGATAGTAAATTTGTGCAGCATGATGATGATTGTAGACAATGTTAAATTAAGAGTTATTTTATATTAAGTGTCGTGTCGGTATCATCAATTAGTGAAACAAATTGATAGTACAATCGAGAATGGAATTTCGTTTCTAATCAAAGTCATCAGTGTTACTCCACAATTGTTTACGACAGCAGATAATCAAATTATTATTGTTTATGGGCTATACAAGCTATAGGTACGGTTAGTGCAAACAACGGTTTGTAAACAATGAACAAATTTTGTTATAGATGTTGACTAATCAACCTTGTCTTATCAACAATCATCCTGATGTGCATATTATTAATTTGCCAACAACATCTAAAACTGAGAGGAAATGTGAGTATGCTAATATGAGTAAAAAATTTCAGACAGAAAAAGTGAATGTTAAATGTGAATCATTCAAGACAAGTGGGAAATTTAAATGAGTAGAGGCATTGAATATTTAGAATTTGTAGTATTTTGAAAATGTTTTCAATTGTGCATCACAATGACTTAGAACTTATCCTATAATATTCAGAGGATAAAACAGTAAGCAGTAAGGTTTAACTGGCCTGAATATCAGTGAGGCAAAATTTATTCTGTACTGAATTTCGTTCCTCAAATCACATTTGAACGCTTCTGTAACAAACAGGCCTTCTCATTTTGGAGCTATATAAAATTTTCCTGTTCACCACTTCCAAGGCTTAGATAAATCAGTTGTTTTTTCAAAAATAGAATTTAATTAAGATATGATCAGATTATATGAATTTCTATCAGCCAACAGAAAACCCGTGATGAACGACTATTGATATTTTGAACCACATTTTTTATTAAAATTGTGGCTACAGTTCCGTTTTTCTGCATTTGTTGTGACATATTAGAACTCATCTTCAACCGCCGTTTATGATGTGTATTCTTATCGTTATAGGTTTGACAAACGGTGAGCACGATTGTCGACCATTTAAAGTCGAAAACTTTTTGTTAAAGATAAAAATATCTTCAACTGATATGCATCGATCAAATCTTATTGAATCACAAAATATTTACAATTTAATCCCACTGATCTATTCAATATTCTTCGTTTATCATTGGTCTATTTTGAAAATACAATTCCTGGTATATTTGTGTACAAACAATGAAGGAAATATCGTTATTATTATGCGAAAAAGCTTTTGCACTGTCAATTGACATTCGATATGTTTCACCAGTTAATACTCGAATTTGAGACATATATTAAACCCGTATCATTTCAAAACATTTATACGAACGGATATCATTGATTATTCGAATATTTTACGTGAAGCAGAATGCGAAAGCGATGAAGCAAGAAAAAAAGAAAAAGATGCTCAAATTCAACAAAAGTTAGACAGTAGATTAACAGTACAGTAGATCAGATTTGCTCAATCATTGAAACACAGTGTACATAAATAACGAGGAAAAGAATATCGAATAACAAGAGGTAACGGGTGAACATTCATTAGACAAACAAGATGTGAACGAAAGACAAATATTAATGAAAGAATGCGATCTATTAATAAATCAATGAAAAAATGTACGTATAGAAACTTTTTTGAAAATCATTGTAGAATCAACCTGTTTCATTTTCTCATTATAGATAGCCGGTGATTTAGCTAATTCAATCGATTCAACTTTGTTCAATATTAGTGACGATTTAAGTCAACCAGTCGATCATCACCGATATTATCCAAAACAAAATCGTGCTCTTACTTGAATACAATATCGTTAAAACGAATCGAAATGGAAAAGGGTTTTTCGAATAAACGAGAACGAATTACATATTTATTAAAAGCAAAAGTGAAAGAGAATTTCTACAAACAAGACCTTGATCGACCGTCACCATAGCAACTACCTCTAATTACAGATGAAATTGTAGGTAATTAATTGAGTTTGCTATTGCAATTAGTCTATGACGATAGTGAAGCAGACACTGTCGAAGAGTTGCCATTTATTACATACAGAATTATTGATTTTAATGAAAATTATACAAAGAGTTCATTCCGGTTGGCTTCCTCCCCATCATCATTAAAAATACACGATTTTCACACTGTCACTTGTAAGGATAAACAAGTACAATAACTTCTTCCATCAACATTGATATTTACATTCAACTCTCATATATCAATATTTAATTTACAACGTTTATAACGTCAATCTTGGCTACATGACGCATCCGATTTTCTTCATTCTTGTTTGAGCGGTATCAGTGCAAAATGCGGATGGCCTTACTCGTCTGAACGTCCATCGTTACATACATTATTATGTTATAAAATTGAAACAAGTCAATCATTCGCAGCATTAGCACATCATATCAAATTTTTATGGTCTTGTATTAGGTCAGTCATTTTAGTATTTTTAATAATAATAAAAAATATTTTAGGCTCTTTTTTAAACTTTTATGTTGTTTATTACTTATCATCAATTGATCTTTATGTAGGATGAAACAAAACAATGTTTTCAATTATCTTTACACGATACTTATTATCGTGTTTGTGTTGGTTTTTTTTTTGTAGAATTAATTGTTTTGTCTGAAATATTCGTTCTTTTTTCTAGGTACCTGTGTGTGTTTATGTTTGGTCTTGCTCCATTTTTGTCAATTGTTCGGTTAACGCTAACAGAGAGTTTTGTACATTCAATTTTAGAACAACTAGCTAGCAGTTATAGTTATACAAGTTTTCTCATGAATTCTTTCCAATAGAGAATAGTAATATTCAGAAAACAGTATTCAAGAATTGTTTCAACCTTTTTAGTATTTTTCAAAAATTTACAAATTGTTTCACATATGCGAAACACCAAAGTACATTTGCCATCTGTACTAATAGTAAAGATGCAAAGAACTGTACTGAGTAACTATGATTATTGATCATTATCTCTTAGGAGATTGCCAATAGTTCATAGAGAACTCGAATATGTAAGACAAGGAAACAGAATTTACTTATAGATGGAATAAGAAAACATATTTTTGAAAAAAAATTTACTTTTCAAATGCTTGGGAAACTTTTGGCAGATTTTGTACCTCTCATATAGAATCTTCTCTAGACTTTATTAAATGATATCAATTTATTGAAAATTATGCATTAACTAATGTAGTGTAACATAGGCTTAATTTAATGTTTATTTTTGTCTCGCTCTTTATTTCCCATTCTATTTGCTTTGCTTTGTTTATTGTAGATGGGACAGTCTTAGGAAAAAACGTTTGCTCGACGATGTTCTGACAACGGAAAATGATTCTGAAATTATTACACATGAATATTTAGCTAAATGTGATATTGGTCAACTTAAATCTTGCAGTGAATATCTGGTACGAAAGATTATTTATCCTATCGATAAGAAACAACAACGTGGCGGAACTGGTAGTGACTTGAGACATAGTTGTAGCAGTAATAGTCAGTCACTACTGAGTAGAACTAATAATAATCAGCAATAATAACAACGTCCATTTATAATTCAAGAACAATGGATATTCGAAAAACATTTGCAGCCGTAGCAAATTCGTTATTATTGTTAAAAATTATTGCATAAAAGATTAGAAAGATTGCAGACGAAAGAAAAAGAAGAAAAAAATAATGTTACCAAGAATTATTAAAGAAACAACATTGCTTTCTGATCGTAAGTTAACTGAGAGTTTATTACTTCTTTTAGATCAGATTTTCTGTATATCACTGTTTAATAAATTGATATATCTTTGCAAATTTAGCACTGGCTTCTCAACGCCAACTAAACCAACAACCAATAACAACCATGACTAAATTACCTACAAGTGCTCCGTTTATTGTTCGTATTCCCCATTTACAACCGAAAACAGGTATAACAACTGAAAGCGGGAAAGTTGTGATTGTGAAATCTGATGCTAGTAATAATAATAATAATAATAATAATAATAATCCATCTACGATGGCGACTATGACTTTTTCTCAACAACCTCAACTACAACAACAAACACAAGCAAAAACATTTTCAATTGTCAAATTACCTGATGGTCAAATTATTCTCGTACCGACAACAACAACTCAACAACAACCACAACAAATACAAACTCAATCCCAACAAACTCCTCATCATTTAAATGAAAATGAAGCGCGAATTGTTAAAGCAGCTAGTCCAGCTACAACACCAAAGTTCAGTGAAAGAGTTATCAAACGAGTGACGAAACAACAAGTACAAACGATACCATTACAAAATCAACAACAATATCCTAATATTGGAACACAACGATTAAATACAATATCAATTACAAATCTTAGGTAAATAATACTAAGCTAAACCAAAGATGAAACGTACTACATCATCAGCCCTTTTTGTTTAAAACTGTTTTTCACTTGAAATGACTATCAAATATTTTCCATTTAGTAATTCTCAAAAACGAAATGTATGTACAATAAATCAAATACAAAAAGAACAACAACCGAAATTTATTGCTATAACAACTGGTCCTCAACTAATTCATCAACAGCCCACACCAGAACGTCGTTTAAGATCGATAGCTCCAGCACCTACTTCATCTAATACAACGACATCTCAAACGCACGCTAATCTTTTATCATCACTTTTATCGTCTCAACAACAACAGTTACTTTTACAGGCACAACAACAGCTTCACACGCCACCAGAAAGTACAACTGAGGATTTATTAAAATTTGATCCTACAGCTAATTTATTGTACGATAATGGCCCATTATTGTCCGAAGATGATTTAACAATGATATCAGGAACGGTGACTGTTGATGGAACTGATGGACTACAACATACAATGATTCCTCCACCACCACCAACTAAAGAAAAAAAAGCATCAAAAAGAAAAGCGCCATCTACGATAGTAACTGAGGAAGAAAAACAACCGCTTCCGTCTGTTCCACGAAAGAAAACACAAAAGAAAAATTCAAGAAAATTGACATCACTTCCTCTTACCGAAACGACTTTAACACCAAAAGCACGTTTAGAAAAAAAAGCATTATCGGTTAAAGAAACAAGAAAAAAAATGACTCCACGTCGAGCTGTTGCTACTGAAACAGTTGAAATTAATAATTCAAGTTTCTCACTCCCACCTCCTGTTCAACTTAATCAACAACAATCAACAAAACCGAAATATAAATTATCTGAACATGATATTCTCGAGTTATCACCCGTTAGCAACAGTAAAAAAGTAACTCCGGAAAAAACGAAGAGGCAATCGGCATCATCTGTTTCTATAGCATCAACTTCAAAGCAAAAGGTTGATCCAGAAGATGGCATTAGGTAAATAAAGTGAAAACGAATCTCGTTTTTACTTGCAGTATGTTAATTATCAGAAATAAAAACGTTACTGATTTGTTTTTCTTCTATTTAGATTAAAAGTATGTGAAGGTATTTTACGTTCACTTCTTGGCACAATTGAACGAGAAGAACGTAAAGAGACGGCCAAAAAGAATATGGAAAAACATAGTACTATTCAACCGAAACATGAACATCGTCAAATTCATTTACATCGCCTTCTAAATGATCGTGTTGAAAATTTACGTCAAGATTTTCTTAAACAACGTTTGCAACGAAAACAACTTTTAGTTAAAGAACAAGTACAACAGCAACGTTTCAAACAACAACAACTTGTACTTAAACAACAGCAAGAACAAGTAAAAACTGAACAAGCAATTATCGAGTCACGTTCATCTTCCGAAGAACAGCAATCATCTCCAACTAAAAAAACTCCAAAAGCGACAAAATACTCGAAAAAGAAATTGACAAACGAACAAGAGACACCAAAAAGGTAAGAAAATTCAAAACGAGTTGGTCATTTTTTTTTCTTCGATATTTGAACATTTTTAAAGAGAAAACAATTTTTATACATGTTTGTTTGCCGTTTTCTTCAGTAGTCCGAAACAAGCGTCGAAACGTCTACGTACTCCAATGAATAATACTGAAGAGCAAGAACAACCTTCTCCAACGTCCAAAAAACCTCGTCAAACACGTCATCAAACAAGTTCATCTTTGCATCGTCCTTCGTCTAGTTCCGATAACGATGAAAATAAACAGAAAAAAACAAGTGCAGCTAAAATAAAAACGACAACAATATCAGCCGCAACATCAAGTCAAAAGAAAAAGTTTTCAGAAAGTATAATGAATCCAGCCGATATTGATTGCGTATGCAAAAATAATTCGGATACGCATGAAAAGTAAGCAGTATAAATAGTTTATAGAAAATTAAGGAGTCACGGTTAGGAAACTATTTTATACTAACGGGTGGTTCAGAATAAATCAGTCACTTAGTATTTTGCTCATATCTCAGTTGAATTTTAACCCCTAAGCTTTATTGTTTTCTTAAAAGATGTGTCGTGAATTTTCTCTACAGAAAATATATTAAACATTTTTTTATATACTGTAAAGATAAAAGAGTATAAAAAAAAACACTACGAAGCTTCAATTTCGATTACTTTGCAACACAAAAAAACAATTTTTTAAATTTTAATCTTAAATTTTAATCTTTTAATATTTTTCGAAACAAATACAAGAAGATGAATATTTGATAGCCCTTAAAAAGCTCTATCAAGTGGCTATATTTAAAACTTTTCGTAATCATAATCCCTGAAATCCATATTTTCCAACTGCAGTTTTGGTGCAGTGAGGAAAACTTTTATAACTCGTCGAAAATCAAACATTTTGAGATCGAGTTTACTGTATCTTAAAGTAAAATAATTCTTCGTAATAATTCGTCTTTGTCCGAAAAACACGTTTAAAAAACGAACCTCTGATAAACGAAAAGAAAGACGACACTTCAAAACACCAGAACTTACGTTCTGATTCCACTTTGACGTATAGCACCGTGTTCAACATAAATTTGTTTTCTGTGTCTTTTGGTACCAAAGTAATCGAGATCGACGCTTCGCAGTATTTTTTCTATATTCTTTTATCTTTGAGGTATATAAAAAACGTTTAATATATTTTCTGTAGAGAATTTCACGGCGCATCGTTTAAGAAAACAATAAAAGCTTAGAGGATAAAATCCAACTGACGAGGGAACCTCCCGAAGTGATACATCCTCATTTTGTTCAAATCTGGCTATTTATATGTAATCAAGGGCGCTGATTACGAATATGATAGCCGTTTGTGTCCATAGACCTTTCCTATCGTCTCTCTGGAAAACCGATTTTCTAGAAATCCCCTGAAACAATAGCAATGTTTTTTCAACCTGTTGGAATTGTAGCCCATACATTTTGCATCAAAATGAGACGTCGCAAATTAATAAGTTAGTGTCTAATCATTTTATTTTAAAGTAACCTGTCATTTCTTTTTAGATTTTTTGTTCAATGTGAATTATGCTCGAAATGGTTGCATGGAAAATGTGTGGGAAGAAAAAATGAGCGTATAGCTGAAAAAATGGACGAATTTATTTGTGCTGATTGTCAAGCATTAACTCAACGAGCCAAAGAACGTTTGTATTGTGTATGTCGAACACCATATGATGAATCTAAGTATGTCCAAAATGTCTTGAAATTTATATTTTTTATAAACAATTTTCTATTTATGCTTATTTTATCTGTTCTAGATTTTATATTGGTTGTGATATTTGTCAAGATTGGTATCATGGAAAATGTGTTGGAATTACACCAGATGATGCTGAAAAATTTGAAGTCTACGTTTGTCCAAGGTGTTCAACAGAGAAAAAACAAGAATTTTTAAATAAACCGATAAAGGGTGATGCTAAAAAGAAATTACTGAATTTGATTGAACAATTGTTGGTAAGTTCAAGAGCGAAAAAACGGTTTACTGAAAAGTTAAGTTTGTGTTCGAATCTCTATTTTTGTCTCTTTCTATTCTTTAAAATTGATTTTGTGTTTTTCGATAGTTTTAGTTTAGAATACTGTAATGAAATTTTTCCGCTTATATTTTGAAAGAATAAAAGATTATACTATATCAAGTTTAAGAGAACGATCTATATATACGAAAATATTTATTCGTTTTTCACTCTTTCTCTATTTTTATGAGAAAACACTTCTATATACTTTTTAATACTAATATTATTTAGACTCATAAAATGGCATGGCCATTTCAGAATCCGGTCGATGTTAAAGATGTTCCGAATTATTATAAAATAATCAAAGATCCCATGGGTAGGTATCAACTAATACAGGAGAAATTTATGTTTAATTCAATGGACTATAAATTAATTTTCTTCACTATTCTAGATTTAACAACATTGAAATCAAAAGTTCTTGCCTCGAAATATAAAACTGTTTGTGATTTTATTCGTGATGTCAATAAAATATTCAATAATTGTCGAGCATTTAATCCGATTGACTCACCATTTTCACAATGCGCTAATGTTGTTGACAATTATTTTCGACATTTATTAGAAAATTTAATGATTAAAGATGAACCAAAATAAAAGTGAAGTAGAATACTAAATTTTATTTTGTTGTTCTGTTTATGGTTAATTGATTGATGATCCACCTACACAGATATATAGTCTATTTTATAGTGTATATTGTTCTGCAAATGATGTGTATAAACTCGTTTTTCTCTTGTTCTTCCAAACACTTAACAAAAATATGTTTTTCGCCTTTTCAGCGAATCATTTACTAGTAGCAAATCGCTTTTTATTTTTCATGTGCGTGTTTATATTGTTCGGATAAAAAAATGACTATTTTTGTCTGGTTGAAGTTTTCATGTTGAAAATGACAACGTCTGCATATTAAAGTTGAATTTTTCTTTTCTTTTTTGTATATGACATAAACCAAGCATTGTAACATTTGTATATATATATATGATATCTATTTGAATTTCTGCATAAATAGTGAGTGAGAAAGAGAGTATGAAACGGTGTTTTTGTATTGTGCTTGTAGTCTATATCTATCTATCTAAAAAAAGACTTTTGAGAGATTTTTAAACACATTCAATTCTACATTACGCATACATATATATATATATATTAAAAAATTGTTGTTTATTTATCTGTTTTGTATCCTTTTTTTTTCATGTTTTGTTTTTTTTTCTTCAAAATATACGATACATATATATATATATATGAAAAAGGGCAAAATGATGATAAATATAGGAGTTCAAAAGATTACGTCATGATAGCTGCTTAAATTCTCTCATCTCTCTAACTGGTTTAGTGAAGATATAGTTCTTAATCGGCAACTTTATTTTATTTCTGACTCTAGTTTGTTACGTGATTGACAACTCAGAGAGTTCAAAAATCAGAAGAAAAACGTGGAAAATTAGAAAAGAAAAGTGTCAAAAGTAAGAAGACATTTTTTTCTACCCAAAACACAGGAGAAAAGGTTATAGCTTTAAAATGAACGTTATGTTTAGCTCCTGTTTTTTCTTTGTCCTGCACTAGTCAACAATCAGCTCGGTGTTTAAAGCTAAGCCAACTATGTAGTTTTATCAGGACTGCATCATATCTCACTGAAATCTATGTTCTGGTTCAATGATGAAAATTCGAGGGAACGACAAATCATCGAACGTATTTTCATCGAACGACATTTCGTCGAAAGATTTTTCATCGCCTGGACTTTTCGTCGAGCGACTTTTAATCGAAAGGTTTTTCATCGCATGAACTTTTCATCGAATGACATTTCGTCGCATGAATTTTTCTAGATAACTGAACGATACTCGTATTGTAAGATTAGATGCGGGTGATGCTCCTGAAGTAGGAAAGAAGTATTTGGATCATACAAAACGATTACTTCATTTAGTAAATAATCCTCATTCAAATATTATGGATCAACTAGAAAATCTAGCTCATAATATAAAATTATGGACAATTGTAGCTACTAGTCTCATCTGAAAACTATTATGTTCACTGTTTCAATTATGTCCCACTTCTTGTTTTTCTTCACAACTTTTGTACAAATTTGAAAAGAAAAAATTATAGATACCTGGAAAATATATTGCGATGAAAAGTTCTAGCGATGAAAAGTCCGTGCGATGAAAAATCTTTCGATGATTTGTCGTGGACTCTGAAAATTCTGAGCAGCTCATTCAGCTTTGAATGTGATGATGGAATCAGAAGAAATTTTCTGAAAAAGACAATTTCTAAAATTTCAGAGCTGATCCGGTCCGATTTTCCAGGTCTGTATCAGCCATAAGAAGAAACAACTGTATGTAAATAATAAAGATTTCTAAACTTTGAGAAAAATTTAGAATGGTATAAAAATTAGATAAAAATTTGAAGGAGCCAAAAAAACAAATATATGGTTTTGTAGAGAATTTGTATTTAAGGATACCCCTTCCCTCTTTTTGGGCTGTCTGTGGAAATACTGTGAAATAAAAACTAAAAGTCACTAAGGCTTCAACTTTTTCGTTTTTGTTTCAAGCTTTTAACTATTGCCGTTAAATTTCATCCAATCACGTTAAAAATTTTACCAGAGGTACTCAAGGTCATATCGCAGAGGTATGTTTTGAGAAAATTTTTTAAGACCTTTCCTGATCGAGTTATAGAAATAATACTGAAAAACGTCTCAAAAACCAAGTTTTTCAGTTTTAGAAATCCTATAGCTCGGTAAAGAAAAGTCTAAGATAAAATTAAAAAAAAATACCTCTGTAATAGTGTCTTGGGTATCTCTGGTGAAATTTTTAACTTGATCGGATGAAATTTAAGGGGGGTTATAATGTGGCACAATGGAGCCTAGTAGCAAAAAATTGGTTTTCGAGAAAAACGCATTTTATACACAGGCCACTTTTTTCAGGGCATTTGCCGTGATGCTTATATCTCCATGAAAACTCATCGGAAAATTCTGGGAGACGTCTCATTGTGAAGAAAACACTTTCTTCTATCAGACTATGTGTAAGAAAAATTTTGAATGCATAGAAAAAGAGAGAAAAGTTTATGAAACTAAAAAAATGAGTTTAACTGCAGGTGAATGTTTACGATGTTATTAGAGTAGTTAGAATAAAATTTTGTTAAAAGCTGTTTATGAGTTTTCTAGAAACCTATGAGTTTCTAAAGAACCTAGTTAGGAGGATTAAATTTTTTTTTCGATTTAGCTATTAGAAAATGCATAGTTCAAAACCTCTAACTTACTATTTTAAGCACAATCTGTCTTTCATCAGAAATTACTGGACGGACCCCTTCCACGGCAGCGTATACTAGAAAAATGTTTTCCCATTCTGGAAAACAAAGTAGTGGTAGTTTGCTAACCCGTGCTTTGTGATACTCTTAGGTACACACTATCGATATATGATTAGTCACTAAAAGCATTTTAGAAGCATCACGATAATTTCTGTTTTTACTTACTGAGCGATTAAAGACAATACGATTTCAGTACATTAAAGAACGTCATACACTCACTGATCGTGTATGATTTACACTTTTAAATCCTTATTATTTACTGAAAATGATCATGGGCTTTTAGAAGAAAACCTACAAGGGAGCGCGTAATAATAACTACTAGTAATTTCGAATATGCAGGAAGTGATTGGTTCCCCATCGACTAGATATATAAATATTATACGGTAACGGTGTCTTTTACAATTATTTTCTTCCTTCAAATATTAAAAAGCTGCGACATCTAATCACAGTACGCTGTTGAAAATGAATTTCTCGTTTGTATTACTATGTGGCTTATTTCTCAATATAGTGCAAACTGACAACGGCCAGTATATTCAACAGGCTCCTCTGACAAATGACAGTTATACATTCGTACTATTTCAAACTAACAACTATGGCGGTTTGGTTATTATTGACCCAACAGGTCTGCTCTCATATTGCCGAATGGGAATGTATGCGACTAATAGTGACGCATTTATTGGATGTTTAAAAATGGTGAATGTCAAACAACTTCAAAATTTATCACAAGCAAATAATCTTTATGGTTAGAAATTTGAAGTAAAGTAGTTTAGCCACATTTATCGCCTAAATAACACTGAACTTATTTCAGTTTTTCACGAAATATTTTTTCTTATCTTTGCTTTCTATAATGGCATCCATTTGTTATATTTTTCGTCTTTGTTCATTATAGCTTTTCAAAAAATAAATTCTTTTTTAATAGAGTCTGGATAAGTGTATCAAGATTACCATAACGTGGGGAAATGTTTACCTATACTTTGTATATTTTTTTTTTATATAAACTTTTTTATTTCAGTGAAATACAGAACAAATCGAGACAGTTGTCACATTACATGTTCATAGTTTACTTAATACATGAGTAGGAAATCTCAAGTTCATATCGTTATTGTAAGGATGACGCGGAAGAAAACATATGGAGAAGAGAGAGAGAGACCACAGTCTGTTGAGATATCACACGTAAAAGCGAGAGTCATAGGAGTAAGCGCGAAGTGTAAGTTTT